GCGACGGCGGTTCGGCAGGACTTGGCACGCAGCGTGCTGGGAGGCTCGGATTCAATAGCTGAGCGAGGTACTGGTGGTTTAAGGAGGGGGGGGGGGAAACAGAGGGCCTTGCTTCACTATTCTTGACATGCACAAAAGACACGAATCATGGTGCTGTATCTTTCCATGTTCTAGCGGAAGATTCACTTTCGTTTTGCACATTTCGAGAGTAGGTTTCCCGTATACGAAGGTCACGAAAAAAAAAAAGAGTAGTGGAGCCAGGCAAAGGCAAAACGAGAGTGAATCTTCCGCTAGAACATGGAAAGATGCACCACCACGAGGCCCCAAGGATGGCACGCATAGGTCGGGAAACCTGACAAGGGAAAAAAAAAAAGAAAAAAAAAAAAGAAAAGAAACTGGGTTGTTGCAGCACGTCTCTCCCCTAGGGCCTCTGCGTTGTTATCATATCCGGCTGGGCCCCTGTATTCCAGTTGCGCAGAAGACAAGAATTATGGAGCTGTATCTTTCCATGCTCTAGCGAAGATTCACTCTGGTTTTGCACCTTTGGAGATCAATCGTGGAAACCGAGAGTGAATCTTTCGGTAGAACATGGAAAGATACAGAGCCACAATTTTGTCTTTTTCCTTCTTGTTTCTTCTTTTCTTTTTTGGAAAACGGCCTGGCCCTCCGACATGGATGACTAGACTGCAGTTACAAACTCTGCCCTGCAACCGCCACGAGACGGCGGAGTTTGGCCTGCAGTGTAAACTTCAGAGGGGACTGGACTCCAAAAGGGCAGTTTGAAATGCATTTTCAAACTCTAACCCTGACCGCGCCCTAGTTTTCTCTACAGTCTTCCCCCGAATACAACGTACGGTCATCATAGCTGAATTTGGTGTATCTTCCAGTCTAAATTCAGCTATAATGACCGTACGTTGTATTCGGGGAAAGTCTGTAGTATTAAACATAGCGACTGTATTTAGGGCACTGCTTAGGTCAGATACAGAACGTGGTCTCAAAAACCCATGTCGTATTTGACGGGAATAGGAGTAGCATGAAGGACTCCAAGATGTCCTAGTTGACTATGGACAGCGGAACGATAGAGTTTCGTTTCCATTTTTTTTTTTTACTTGTTCTGTAAATATATCCGGCTGCCTCCCCTTCGCCAGATAAATAAGTAAAAACTACTCCGTAAATTATTGTGAAATGAAGGAAGGAAGGCGGAACCAGCTGTCCATTCATTCACTGGGTCTAGTCCGGAGGCGCAGTCCCGAGGAGAACTTGCTGCCGCGAAGGAGCACCACAAAGGAAGGCGGGCGGAGGGAGCAATGCGAGAAATTGACTCTGTTTACTGGCATCAGGTCATTTGCACAAAGCTTGAATCGCTGGCATAGGCCTGCCCGGGGTTACCTAGTAGACTATCCTAGGAATAAGTAGGGGTGTACTAATTAAAAAAAAGCCAAGGACGCCCACCTGCAGGTCGGGAGCAGCCCCCGCATGTTCTCTTGTGAACACGGTTCTGGCTGCTACGGGGTTCCCCGTATATAATTGTAGGAGTGGTAGGTAGGTAGTGTGAGGTGAAATTGAGAGAAGAATATAGCTTTAAAAAAAAATATTTATATATATATATATATATATATATATATATATATATATGGTGTCGAGTTAGTAAGATGGTCGGGTGGTGAGACCAAAATAGGCATGGGAAAATAGGGGGCAAGGATGGATGCATGAAGAGGCGAAAAAGGCCCTGGATAAGGAGAGGGTTTTTTGGGATGGATCCATCATAGGGAACTGGGTTTTGTTGAAAATCGACTTTCTCTCCGTTTCACAATTCGTACTTGAGTGACCTAAAGAGGTCATTTGGCCTGTCCGATTGGGGCCAAATTTTGGGATGAGCGGTAATCTCATGGATGATCACTCATCCCAAAAAATGGCCCTTATCTGATAGGCGAAATGACCTCTTCAGGTCACTGAAGTATAGATTGCAAAATGGGAAAAAAAACTCAATTTTAACGAAAATGCAGTTAGGGGTGGGGCACTGTGATAGCGGGTTAGGGGTAGGAGCATGTTTGTGCACTGATAAAGGCCCCTGATAAGGAGATAGTTTTTTGGGATGAATCCATCATAGGAGTGGGGCACTGTGATACGGGAAGAGGGGTAGGAGCATGTTTGTGCACTGATACGTCTGGAATAGAGCTTGAGCTTTATGAAGGTGGTGATATATGACTTTCTTGAGTTTTCTTGTACAGGATTGTAGGTTATAGCATCCTCGTTGTAAATTGCGGTTTGCAGGGGATGTTCCCCTTCAGAAAATTTCTGAAAAAAAATACTTTTTTTTTTTTCCATAAAGTTTGCTGTGTTCATTCATGAGCTTAAGTTGGGTAATTGCCTTGGTATTTCTCGGGTTGAATTGAGAGTACGTAGGCTCAGTCTCAGATTATTGTAATCAAGTATCCTTTGCAAAAAAAAAGGTTTTCGACCTCAATACTCATTGTGTAATAAAACGCTTCAAAGCATCTCATAAAAGGAAAGAAATTTCGGGGGTGTGGACTTGTTTGCAGTGTGCTGAAGTTTAGGCATAGTTGATAGTAGGGAAAACCATTGGTACCATAGTTCGCCCCCTAAAAAAAACTTATTTTCACTCTCACCCCAGTTGCAGATCAGTAGACTATGTACATAGTTGTAAACTATGTATAGCTTATATATAGTCTATGCGTGAACTACACGTACACTTCGACTATGTTGGGCTATAATAAAACTATGTATGGTGTATAATGTACACAGTGTATATAGTCTATGCATGAACTACATGTGCACTTCGATTATCTATAGGCTATAAAAAGACTTTGTATGGTGTACACAGTGTACTCATTTCGTTGAGACTGTATACATAAGACAATGTACAAACTATAAGCTATGTACAGAGTAAAATAGATTGTGTAGAGACTAAAATAGATTGTGGATTACTTGTACAATCTACAAACTGTCCAATGTGCATATAGTATAAACAAAGTGTTTAGCCTCTATATACATTGTACTTTATAACATTTATGCGCAGACAATGTATACACTTTCCACATCCATACTTGTTTATAGATGTATAGAAGTATAAATTTATATAGCACTTTAGATCTATGGAACTAGACACTGAAGTATAGATGTTTGGATTCATGAACATATACATCCCTATTACTCTATTTTTGTGTAGCATCGTGTTCGCATTCGGTGATCGAGCCCGAACGTTTGCGACCGAATGTGAACAAGCGTCAAAACCCTTTGAATGCGAACATAAAAATATTGTTAAAAAAAAATAAAAAAAATCTTAAAACATCTGGAAAAAAAATATATGTTATGTAAAATAATAATACAAACAACTTTTGCTCGGAAGGTATAGTAAAATTTGTAACCAATCTCGAGTTGAAAATAAAAAACCTAAAAAAAATTAAGATTGTTTTTTTTATCATTAAAAAAAAAAGTCTGGTTGAACACGTTCGAGAGGCATTCGGCCTAACACCCGAACATGTTCGGACATTCAGAAAAACTTTGAATGTGTTCAGTGTGCTACACAGCTTTATACATCTGCACATATATAGATCTAACCACACATATACTGTAAAGTATGGTTTATAAGATTCGTACATATTACTTTACATGTTTGCACATATATAGATCTAACCATATGTATACTATAAAGTATGCTATACAAGATTTGTGCATATTATGATATTACTTTAC